ACAAGACAAGCAAAGAAAGGCGAGGCAGGTGCTTGTGTCTGTCCTTGGCTTACCCTGCACTCATGGCTTCGGAGTACTTGGAGATCATCTCCGAGATAGTCGGTTCCTGCCGACGCGTGCCCGTCATGTTGGTGTTGTGGTTGCTATCGTGGATTCACGGAAGACCTTGCTCGGGTGCTTGCTTGGTTGCTTGAGTTAGGAAGGAGAAGGCGCACAGAGCTGTCGGGAAGCACGAAGCAAACGAAAAGGCGTGCAGAAGGACGACAGCACGAGAGCCGAGACGAAGGCTAGTCGCACTGCGACAATGGTCTGTCAACAGACAACAAGTGGGGGTGGGGGGGGGAAACACGCCGACTCACAGCAGCGCGCTTCTTGTTATGTCTATGTTTGGTTTGTGGAGGTGGAGGTGGGAGGTAGGACGATAAAGAAGGAGATGCCGCGCCACAATCAAGGCAAGGCGAGGAAAAAGAGGAGTGGAGTGGAGTGGAGTGAGGTGGCACTTCTTGGCGACGAGCGTATGTGTGTGTGTTTGCGTGTGTGGTTTCGTGCGAGCTCGTGTCACGACGTCAAAGGGCTTGAGGTTTGGTGTGCTCAGCACAAGGTGGAAATACAACAACCAAACAAACAACACAACCCAGCAGCAGAGCAAGCAGCAAGGCGTGGCTGGTGAGGTGTCGATCAACGACAAACAACGCACGCAAGCAAGCGAAAGGCGCAAACGGCGAATGACAAGCAAGCAAGCAAGGACCACAGTGGAGAGGCTTTTGCTGTTGCTTGCTCGCCTGGCTCGGCGAACAGCGACTTCTTCTGCGAAAAGCGCTCGGAAGGAGAACAGGCAAAATCAGGAAAAAGCGCCATTTCTGTGATGATATAGACGAAAAATCACACTATCGTGACGTCAGCGAAACTGGGTTGCTAATGTTCCCTGTTCATTTTCAGAGATGCGAACGTGCATGCATGCACCACAAACGCCATCCCTCGCAACCCTGTTTTGCAGCGAATGTTGCGTTTCGGGCCAAATGGAAGGAGTAATGGCTGGACAAACCGCACGTGTGCACGAGGCCAGGCTGTTTGCACGCCAAGCAGGGGTCATTTCGGCGTGTGTGTGTTTGCGTGTGGTGTGCTGTGTGTGTGCAGCACACCCAGCAACGGGCCAAGTTGCTGCTCTGGCTTGGGTTCGAAAAGTTGCGATGATGCGCGTTTGTGCGCTTTTGATTGAGAACGAAAAACGTCAAGGACTCAACCACGACAGGCGACACACAAAGATAGGGTGGCTGCGGCTGATGCTGACGATGGCGATGACGAAGAAGCGTGTTGGTGGTGGTGACAGCGGAAGCGCTGAAGGTGTAGGAGGTGAAGCAGGAGGGCTGGCGCGTGTGGGGTTGCAGTACATTGCTCCGGCGGCATACCGCGCACCAATGACCGTCGGTCAGTGTGTGTGAATGTGAGTCTGTGAGTCTGTGAGTGAATGTGGGTGAATGTGAGTGAATGTGAGTGTGAGTGTGAGTGTAAGTGTGAGTGAGTGAGTGTGAGTGTGAGTGAGCGTGTGAGTGTGAGTGTGAGTGTGAGTGTGAGTGTGAGTGTGAGTGTGAGTGTGAGTGTGAGTGTGAGTGTGAGTGTGAGTGTGAGTGTGAGTGTGAGTGTGAGTGTGAGTGTGAGTGTGAGTGTGAGTGTGAGTGTGAGTGTGAGTGTGAGTGTGAGTGGGTGTGTGTGAGTGGGTGTGAGTGAGTGAGCGAGTGAGTGCAAATGTGAGTGTGTCCATATGTGGTACACTGCATGTGTGCACATGAACCACCGAACCATTCATTCCCTGTGCTCCGCTCGTCACCTTTTCATGTCTCACACGGCCATCTCCTCACCAACCCAACAGTGCCTGCTGTGGTTGCTTGCATCCCTGACAAGAAGAAGACATCCACAATCCTGCGGTGCACGCACTGTGCCATGTTGTGGTGTGCCGTGTTGTGTGCTCTGTTGTGGTGTGCCATGTTGTGTGCTCTGTTGTGTGTCGTGTGTTAAGCGCTGTCAACGGCCACAAGTTCGTTCATCCTCACCATCACACACACACGCCACATTTTTGCACACATTGGAACAAACCCCTTGCCAATGGCTACAGATCCCTGCAGCGTACACATCCCTTGCACGACCTCAAGCACTGCCGCCGTGTCCGCTTCTCACGCGAACGTATGTCGCACTTCTTCACACGTGCGCCAGCCAATGTGCCTTGCTCACCCTCTGTCATGTTGTCCCTTCGAGCCAGAACCACCGTGTGTCTGCCTGTGTGTCAGTCAGTCTGTGTGTCTGTGTGTCTGTCGGTCTCACTGTGTGTGTGTGTGTGTGTGTGTGTCTGTCTGTCTCACTCTCTGTGTCCGTGTGTCAGTCAGCCTGTGTGTCAGTCAGTCTGTGTGTCTGTCGGTCTCACTGTGTGTCTGTGTGTCTGTCGGTCTCACTCTCTGACGCATTCCACCAACACACACACACACATGTTCATACGATGGCGAGTAGGGGAGCAGTTGGAGGTGATTGTGTGTGGTGTCGCAGCGGATGTGCACGGTGCCGGTGATTTGGAATCGTTGCCCATTGACGATGCTACACGGGAGCTCGTTGCGGGTCTTGGTCTGAAAAACGTTCACATCGCATCCGTCCCCGCCTTTTGTCCCCTCACTCGCACCCAGATGACGCAAGCCTCCCAATATTGGTGCGTGTGTGCTTGGGCACTTGTGTGAATGCATGTGTGTGTGCATGTGTGTTTGTTGGTGTGTTTACTGACTTTGCTGTCTGGACGCTCGTCTCGCGGTCCTTCAACAACCACGCTCTTGTGTTCTCCCTCACACACATGCACACACATGCACACACACCCTCACACGATCTCTCCCCCTCCCTTCTTCCTTTGCCTCACCGATGGGTTGATCTCCTCTGCTTGTCCGCAGGCCAGTGACCTTTCACGAGAACAGAGAGTGAGATAGCCTGCGCGCGTGCTGTGTGCCGACATGCAGTGCTGCCGTGGTTGCTGCCCACTTTTCTTCCTTTTTCATGTTAACTCCTGAAAATTGCACACACACACACACACACACACACGCACACACTGGTCGCTCATCATGTCACGCCATGTTCTGTCATCAGGATGGCGGCTGCCATGGACTTATCTGCATTCACGCCCCAGCACATGGAGGTGTGCTAGCACTGCGTTGCTTGTGTGTGTGTGTGTGTGTGCGTGCATGTGTGCGTGCTTGAGTGCGTGCATGAGTGTGTGTGTGTGCTTGTGTGCGTGCATGTGTGCGACATTTATTTGGTCAGACTGATTGCATCACCGCCACCAGCACCAGCAGCGGCAGCCTGATTGCCCCTGTCGCACGTGCGTTTGCTAACGTGGCGCGTGCTTGCATGCGACTGTGCGGCTGCTGCAGTATGTGCAACTGTGTGTGAAGCGGTTACGCGAGTTGGCAGGCAAGGCAGCAGCAGAGGACACGCCGCACCCTTCAACCACACCCACAACACGACCACATCACACACCACAGCCTCTGCAGCGTTGCGCCATTGCTGCGGATCCACGCACCGGCGCTCTCCTCCACACCGCCAACGACCAGCGCCACGCCCACCCTTTGCATCACGAAGGTGCGCTTTGAGAGAGAGGAAGGGAGTGGGCGGGGAAGCGTGTGTGTGTTGTGTGTGTTGTGTGTGTTGTGAGTGTTGTGTGTGCGCGCGTGCGTGCGTGCGTGCGTGTGTATGTATGTACGTATGTGTGTGTGTGTGCGTGCGTGTGTATGTATGTACGTATGTGTGTGTGCGTGCGTGCGCATTCGTTGAAGGCTTGCTCCGCTGTTGCATTGTGTTCCCAAAATCAAATCACGTGTCGCTTGCGTCGCTTACACTTGCTGCCGTTGATGTAACCACGCCTCACATCGCATGACCACATCACCACGTGTGTAGTGATGATGCTGATAGATCAGGTTGCACGTGCGCGCGCGCGAGAGAGGGCGGCTATTGTCACGAGCACCACCACCATCAGCACCACCATCAGCAGCAGCAGTGGTGTTGGGGCTGCCATCAAGCGAAAAGCTGACGCGGACAGTTATGATACAGACAAGCGTCGTCATGGTGGTGGTGATAATGATGACGATGATGATGATGATGATGACGCTGGCCAGCTGGAGAGCTCGTACCTCCTCAAGGGCCTTGACGTGTTTCTTACCCACGAGCCATGCATCATGTGCGTTGAGGATGGGGTGTGTGGCTGTGTGTGATCCATGTGTGTTTGATGTTTTTGTTTGTGCGTTTGTGTGCTGTTATGACGCTGCCTGTGTGTGTGTGCGTGTGTGTGTGAAAGTGTGTGTGAAAGTGTGTGTGTGTGTGAAAGTGTGTGTGTGTATGATAGTGTGTGTTTGTGCATGTTTGCATGCGTGATTGTATCACGTGTACAGAAATTCATCATTCCAGCTGCTGCTTGCTGCCACAACCTCAGTGCTCACCACTGTCATCCTTGTTGCATGATCATCCACTTCCCAAAGGTGCTCCATGGCGCTTGTTCACTCGCGTGTCGGTCGCATCTTCTTTGGTACGCCCCCTTCTTGTTCACCAGCTCTTGCCGTTCACGTGATTGCCGCGCCTGTATCTTTGTACTTGCACGCTCGTGTGTGTGTTGTGTTTGTTAATTGTGTTGTGTGCTTGTGTGTCTGCGCGCATGTGTGTGTGCGTGTGTGTGTGTGTGTGTGTGTTAGTCATCGTTGTGCTTGTGATTGCCGCCGCACGACATTAATGACCTTGCATCATGGCGGCTGTGTTGTGTCTTCTTGTCAATCAACAGAGACGACGTGTGCCGATGGCGCCATCAGCACCAACCACGAGGTGAGCTCGAAAGGGGGTGTGGTTCGTGGTGGTGTCTGCTGTGGTGTCTGTGGTGGTGTCTGTGGTGTCTGTTGACGTGTCTGATGTGGTGTCTGTTGTGGTGTCTGTTGACGTGTCTGATGTGGTGTCTGTTGTGGTGTCTGTTGTGGAGTCTGGTTCAAGTTTTCTTCCAGCTCTCACTCACACCACAACGCGCACACACACACACACACACACACACACACACACACACACACACACACACACACACACACACACACACACACACACACACACACACACACACACACACACACACACACACACACACACACACACACTTGCCACCCCCACCCCCACACCACAGATTCACCAGCACGACAACCTCAACCACCGCTTTGATGCCTTTGCCATTGTCGATAATTAGTGTAAAATATACGATAATCGTCCACAACCAAAACAGCCAAACCGTTTCGCGGCCACCGCAACAACAGCAACACCGCCACACAGCAACAACAGCATCAGACCGACTCACATCACAGCAAACACCACACCGCACACAACAGACAGCACAAAGTCATTGTCATGTCTCAGGCGAGCACGCCGTCGCAGCGGCGGGACTTTAGCTCGCCGCCAATGAGCAGGACACGGGTCACGGGCGTGCGGCCCCGCTCAACGAGCGCCGCACACAGAGGCCGGTCACACACGCGGCTGGCGGCGCCGCCGCAAATTGGAGACAAGGTCACATCCTTGGACGGCGTGCGTCGCGGGACGGTGCGCTACGTTGGAGAGACCCAGTTCAAGGCGGGAACATGGGTCGGCATCGAGCTTGAGCAGGGCCTGCAGGGGAAGAACGATGGAGAAGTGGAAGGCGTCCGCTACTTTCAGTGCAGCGAGAAGCAGGGTGTGTTCCTGCCGATGCACCGCGTGCACGTCCTCCAGCGCGCACACGGCAGCGACAATGATCGGGACATGGTGGACATGAACGCACTGGCATCGGCCCACCGCCTGCTGCGGGAAGCGCGGTCCACGCACGAGAAGGAAGTGGAGGCGCTCGTGGCGGACCGCGACGCGCTGAAGCAGCAAGTGGACGCCCTGCAGCGGCGGCTGGTGCACCGCGACTCCAGCGCGGGCGCGGACACATCAAGCCTCGACGCCGTCAGCTTGCAGAGCATGCAGCAGGGCGTGAACACAAGCACCAGCAGCAGCCACATCCCGGGCGCATTCACCGCCACCACCACACGCACGGCCACGCCAACCTCGGCGTCCTTTGCCTCGCTCGCGGGCAAGCTGCCCGTGATTGATGCGACAGCGGCGTCCGAGGACACCCTCACCCAACAGCAGCTGCAGCAACTGCAGCAGCAACGGCGTCAGAGTGGCGGCAACGACTCCAACGCCACCTTGCACGACATCTTCTTTGCCAGGCGCAGCCGCAGTGGCACGGGCTACAGCCACTCTGACCTGGGCGGGGCTGCCTCATCACCGCCCCACACAACCGGCAGTAGCGGCGGTGGTGCCACGGCGCACCAGCGCGGCCTTGCACGCAGCGCACCACGGGCCGCCCAGCGCAGCAGCAGTCCAGGCAGCGTGAGCATGGGTGGCGGCGGTGGTCGACCACGCCGTGGGTCGCTGCACTCCGACTCTGTTGCGGACAAGCTGCGTGGCGCGCGTGTGGAGGCAGAGCAGCTGCGGCGGGAGGCGGCCGAGGTACGCGGCCAGCTCCGCATGTGCGAGGCCGTGCTTGCAAGCAAAGACAAGCTGCTGGCAAGCAAGGAGGACCGCATCCGGGAGTTGGAGGCGCAGGTTGCGCACAAGGACGCGGAGGTGGTGGCAGGGAAGAAGCAGGTGCAGGCACTGGAAGCGCGCTGTGCACAACTGCAGGAGCAAGTGAGCAAGCTTGAGGCACAGGCTGAGGGCAAGCTGACCTCCATGCTGACGGACAACGCATCCGCCCTGGGCACCATCGCCGCACGGCTCGAAGCGCTCTCAGCGAGGCGCGATGAGGGGGAGGAGAGCAAGGAGCGGCACAAGGAGGAGAAGAACATAAGCACGGGCGGCACAGGTGTTGGTGTTTGCGCATCAGAGCCAGAGCAAGCAGCAGAATCGTCACAGCAACCGCAACAGCAGCAGGAAGAGGAAGGGCAAGGGGAACCGCGTGCTGATGGCGGACGTGCACGTGTGCGGGATGGTGAAGTGCTGGCGATGCGCGAGTCCCTGGATACGGTGTGTCGGCTGCAGCACACGCTTGTGTCTGCGCTGCAGGAGTTGAAGGAGGACGTGTTGGCGTCCAAGGCGGCCGGTGACAAAGGCCGCCGCGGCAATGGCAATGGCAATGGCGATGGTAGTGATCATGGTGGTCGTGACGTGGCTGGGAATGGCGGTCGTGACACCACCATGGCCCACATCGACAACAACAACGACAACGACAACACCAGCGACAACGACACCAGCACAGATGGCGGGACGCCGGAAGCACGTGCGGGTGACTCTGCGGCACAGGCACGCGGGGTGATGAAGCGAGTGGCGTCGAGAAAAGAAGATGGGGAAGAGGAAGACAAAGAGGAAGAAGAGCAGCAGCGACTACTGCTGGATGAGGTCGGGGAGGCGCTGGTGGGGCCGAGCACAGGGCCGTCGCTGCTTGACGTGACCAGCGAGAGTCTGAGCGAGATGCTATCGCTCCACTCGCAACACATTGAGAGCGTGCACCAGCTCATTGCTGGCGTTGACGGCGATGCTGCCGCTAGTGGTGGCGATGATGCTGTGGCTGTGGCCAATGAGGAGCTGGACACGGCTGTGCAGCAGCTGTTGGCGGATGTGTTGCACCGGTTGGATCGGTGTGAGGACACGGTGGATGTGTTGTACTCGCAGCAGCAGCTGTCCAGCCTTGCTGCGAGCGGCAGGTTTGCTTCCCTTGCCCGCAGCTTCTCTGCGGAGGACCCCATGGACGACGACGAGGACTACGTCTTTTGACGCGTGCGCGCGCGTGGGCGTAGGTGGATGTTTGTGTTGTGTGTGTGTGTGTGTGCTTCGTGTGAGCGTTAGAAGTGTGTGTGTGTGTGTGCGGTTCATGTGAGCTTCAGATGTGTGTGTGTGTGTGTGCTTTTGCTTTGTTGGCTTCTTCCTTTGTGTTGTGTTATGTTACAACAGCGTGCCGACCTTGTTTGCACATTCGAGTACACAAGCTCGTGAACGGTTCATTTGAGGCAGGCCACGAACAACAAGCTGTCACTGGCACTCGACCCACATGTGCTTCCACATGCCACCTGCTGCTTCACTATGCCACCCACCACCCACACACCACACACACACACACACACACACACACACACACACACACACACACACACACACACACACACACACACACACACACACACACACACTCGTCACACGACGCACAAACTCACACGACGCACGAACTCACACAACACAGGCTGCAGTGAAGGTTGTGAACAAGACACAACTGAGCCAGGAGCACAGGCAGCGCTTGAAGCAGAGCGTGCAGTCACTCCTCGTGTTGAACCACGCACACATCCTCGACTACTTTTGGCTCCATGAGACAGACGAGCAAGTCTTCTTCTTCACAGAGCACGCACAACGCACCCTCCTCAAGCACATCCAACAGCATGGCCGGCTTCACCCCGCAACTGCACGGTGCGTGCGTGCGTGTGTGTGTGTATGTGTGTATGTATGTGTGTGTGTGTGTGTATGTGTGTGCTTGTGTGTGTGCATGCATGGTTTGCGTGTGTGTACTGAGTTTGTTGGGGATAGTGCTACTTGGGCGTTTGTTTCCACCAGCACTATCACTCACTGAGCCTCTTGCCTGCGTCATGCGTGCCTGCACCTTCGCCCATTCACCCGTCCACACCACAGGCGGTTCTTTGGCCAGCTGACGAGCGCGGTCGACTTTGTGCACTCCAAAGGTGTTGCCCACCGCAACATCAAGCTCGAACACATCCTCCTCTTCCCAAACAACACCGTCAAGCTCACAGGCTTTGGCTTCTCCGCACAGGTGCGTGCACAAGTGCATTTTTTTTGTATGTGTGTGTATTTGTGTGTGCCTGCGTTTCTGAGGACCGGGCCAGTACATCTGCCAAGCCCACAGACACGCAGACGCAGACACACTGACAAACAGGCACAGGCGCAGGCATATACCCTCCCCCCCCACTTTTCCCCTCTCACCCACTTTGCTCGCCCCGGCTCACCAACGCACCCATTCAACCCTCGTCCCTTCTTCCCACACTCCAGGCACACGAGACCCACAGTGCCGCGAGCATTGTTGTGGATGCGCCCCACTACGCCGCGCCAGAGTACTTCTCCCGCCTTGCTGCAGACTACGACTCGCGCGCAGCCGACATGTGGGCGCTCGGCGTCGTGCTGTATGCCATGGTCCGCGGCACCATGCCCCACCGCGGCTCAACCCTCGCCCAGCTCTCCATGAGCGTGCTGTGCCGTCGCCCAGAGGCAGCTGTCGCCTGTCGCCGCCTCTCCTCCATCCTGTCCCTCCTCTTTGCACGTGACTGGCGCGCGCGCGCCACAGCCGCAGCCGTTCTCCAGCACGCCTACACATCCACGGCACCCGCAACGCCAGCATCATCAGCGCAGCAGCAGCTGCTGCAGCAGCGACGGCGTGAACTGTCCTCGGCGACCCTGGACCGTCTGGTGCGCGCGCGCATGATTGCGCTTGGATTTGAGCCGCGCCAACTCGACGTCGCGCTCAAAATCACCTTCAGCCAGCAGAGCGCCATCGCCAACGTGCTGCGTGCACACCTGCGCTATCAGCACCAGCGCCACGCCCATGCTCAGGGCACGTGCCTGTGCAACGCGGCCTCGTGCGCATTCAGTCCAGCACCCATGCCTGCAAGCACGGCTCCCACCGCCGCCACAGGCGAGGGCGCATCGTCGGTGCGGTCTCCGCTCCGGCCACCGCAACGCACACACGCAGCAGGCACAACACAAGCAGCAGGCCAGCAGCAGCAGCAACAGCAGCAACAGCAGCAGCAGCAGCAGCGTTCCTCAACCATCACCTCGTACACGCGCAACACCACGGCTGCATCGTCGTCGCCAGGAAGCGCACCGGCATCCATGCGTGGCGCAGCCATCAAGTCGCTGCCAGCGCACGTGTGCAGGGACTGCGGCGAGACACTGGCTGTTGAAGAGCACAGCGAGCACAACAGCAGCGCGCGCACCCATCGCACCGCCACCAGCAGCAACGCAAGCAGCGGCAGTAACAGCGCAGCAGCGGCCTCATCGACCACCACCACCACCACCGCAACAGCACCGGCCCGCGTTGCGGTCGGGTTTGACGTCGATTCGGACTCGGAACTGGACATGTCAGATGACGAGGAGATGGAGAGCGAGGACAACCATCACCACCACCACGACGGCAGCCATGCCTGCACCCACAATGCACGCGACGGCGACGAACACAAGGCAAAGGCTTTCACTCCCCACACGGATGCATCATCATCGTCGCCACCATCTGCCACAGCACCTCGCCGGCCCTCAGCATCACGCGTTTCGAAGCGCCGCCGCCGCCGCAGCTCACACGCGCGCGGACGCAGCAAGCGGACACGGCGCGTGCAGGCGCTGGTGCGCATGGCAGCGCGACAGGCCATGGCGGAGGAGGAGGACTTTACTGCCGGCGAAGCCGACGTGAACACGTGCGGCAGCGGTGCGGAGGGCACCAGCCATGCTGGTGAGCATGTTAGTGTCGATGTCGATGCGCTCATCTCCACGCTCCTGGACCACCAGCAGCAGCAGCAACAGCAGCAGCAGCAGCAGCAGCAGCAGCAGAAGACAGCATTGGACGGCAATGCATCCGCTTTGCAGCGCCAGCACAGCGTCAATGGCCATCACGCAGTCAACCAATCCCCTGCAGCCCAACAACAGCAGCTGCAGCAGGAACAGGAACAGCAGCAGCTTGGATGCCTGTTGCCTGGCGAAGGCAGTGCGGAGAGCAAGCTTGCTCGCTTGCGCCATGCCATGAAGAAGTGCATCGGCCAGACGCTTGCTCTTCGCGCCGCCCCGGCCTTTCGTCTGACTGCGGTGCACCCGGCGACCACAACTCCGCTCCCCGTTGTCGGAGAAGCGGCAGCATCGCACACGGGCAGCGAGAGCGACTGCAACCCGTACAAGCGCAGCAAGCAGACGACGTCTGCACGCAGCGAGGGCCAAGATGGGGCCGAACGGTCCTAGAGCACTTAGCAATCATAGTATAGTGGCTGTGTGTATTGTCATACAATGAATGTCCTTCATCCCCGACACAGCTTGAAATCCGGGCGTGTGCTTGTTACATCACGTAGTGACTGGCGTGCGCCGTTCATTCCACAGCCATAACCACCCTCCCTCTCCGCATCGCATGCACATGTTGCACCCTCAGCCCTTCATTCCTGGCACCCGTGCGACGTCACGTCTTCCCCTCTTCCCATCTCTGCATGCATATTGACATTTGCCCTGCCCGTTGCAGCCCTTTTCTCTTCCCCCTCTTTTTTCCTTTTCTCTCTCCGCGATGTCATTTGCATTATCATTTCCAGTCTCATGTATGCTAGCATCCATTCGCCAATCGTCTCAGCCTGGGTCGTTTATCGACACGGAAATGCATTACAAACACACACGACGCACACCCGAGTCACGACTGCATTGACGCGCGCGAACGTGGTGGTGGTGGTGGGGGGGGGGGATAAGGGGCGGACGCGCGCGTGTGGTGTGTGTGTGTGGGGGGGGGGATAAAGATACGCTGCGGCGTGCCTGACGCACAAACCTTAACTTCCGCAACACTAAGAAGCAGCAGTGATTAGTAGGGTTAAGTGGTCAGCTTTCTTCCTTGTGTTCACCTCGCTCTGATTTTACATCTTGTTCCTGTTGTTGTCGTTGTTGTTGTTGTGGTTGTTGTGGTTGTTGTCGTTGTTGTTGTTGTCGTTGTTGTTGTTGTCGTTGTTGTGGTTGTTGTCGTTGTTGTTGTTGTCGTTGTTGTTGTTGTTGTTGTTGTTGTTGTTCTTCATCTTCATCTTCTTCTTCTTCATCTTCTTCTCCTTCTTGTTCCTCTTGTCCTTCTTCCTCCGCTAGTTCTCCCTTGACCCCTTGCTTCCTTGTCTCTTGTTGTTGTTCCTCGTCTCCTACTCTGCGTGCGGTGCCATCCCGTTCGTCTTCTTGTTCAACGGTTGTCTTCTCTTCTGCCCTATTCACCACCACACCTGCCTCGTCCTCGTCCTCCTCGTCTTCCCAGCCGTCTTCGTCATCCTCCTCGCCAGATGTTTCTGCTTCCTGCATCCTGCGCAGTGCCTGTAATCGCCTCGCTGCTTCCACTCGCCTTCGCTCTGCCTCCTGCTTGCGTTTCCTCTCCTCTGCCCTCCACGCGGACAGCGAATTGGGTTGTCGTGCATCCGGCAGTTCGTCTGGCAAGAACTTGTCCCGGATCAGTTCCTGTGTCATGAGTGCAATGGCCTCGACTGTCGCCTGCGGCAGCATTGGCCTGGACATTCGAATCGTCGTGCCTTCAAGCATCATGTTCAAGCTCCCAAAAATGGCATCCTTCAGGTCCTGTGGTGGGTGGGAGATGGTTGGCGCCGACAACATGCAAGCAGCAAGGGAGGGGGGGGGGGCGATAAGGACGAGCTTTGCTCAAAACTAGCGGGCGAGGCAGAAAGTTGGACAGAGGGGCAACCAAAGACGGAAAG